GTTCCATCTCACAGCTACCTGTGTGCTTCATACCCTTTCTGTCCATGTGAAAACCTCAGTAGACCCCCGAGGAGACAGTGCATGGACTTGTGTCCGTCATTATAGGCATAACTGTACTGAAGGAACAAAACCCTCCACTTCCAACTGTTACTATAGATGCAGTAACATCTTTTGACGCTATGATGTTGTTCCAGCACACTGCATCTTTGTAACTTGAGCTATGATTAAATAAGGGACTTCAAGCCAGGGGTAGGTATCAAAGCCAGCTGTGAATAAGCTGATGTGTGTGCAGGAAGCAGTAGAGATGTTATATATGAGTTCATTTTGTGGTAACAGAATAGTATGAACTTGATGCAGCACCAGAGTGTATTACCCTGATCAGTGTGGTGTTTTCTGTTTGGTTTTTTTGTTTGTTTTACAACTAAATTAAAAATTTCTGCACAATTACACTATATAAGCATGCTCCTGATGTTATTGCAGCTGTCCAGTTTCTGAATAGCCCTCTTAGCCCTCTGTCTTAATAATGCTCAAAAGTTGACTGTTTAATGTTAGTCTGCCTTATTATGTGTGCAAGCAAAGCTGTACATTTTTAAGGGCTAATTAAATGTTGATCACCATGTTGTACACCTCTTACTGGCTCTTAGTTATGCTACTTAGGCCTTTTAAAGTTGAGAGACTGCTGTGGTACAAAAAGAAAGACTGACTGCATAAAAGCACATCTCTTTCGCTACCTTTAGTTTATGTAGAATGTAATTTTTCTTATGAGAGTTTCAGAAATTGTTGAGTCATCCACTTTAATATTAGATTTTTCAATATAATCCTCTGTTTAAGGGGATACAGCCTGGACTAATATGTTCACCACTGACCATTGTTCATTTTCTCCTGCATCACTTTTCATGATTATGGAAAATAAAATGAGAAAATAACCTGAAAGAACAAGAGGTGTAGAATATAGTGGCTTTATAAATCCTTTGCAAATGAGGAAGGTGAGGATGATTGGATGCAATTGACAAAAATCCGAGTTGAGCCTTAGTAACCAACGCTGCCTAGATGATTATTCTGCAATTTTATCTAAGAAGTCAGTCTCCAACATAACATTTGTCGTGTTATGCAGAGAAGTGTTACAGGTAACGGATAACTTTGTTATGTATCCCTGACTGGCTGACTTCAGATCAGTTTAAATTGCATCTCCAGAAGGCTTAAGTTAAAGGGCTTGCTGAGCCTGAGTTTCTTCAGATCCCTGATTACAAAGATGACAAATCTAGCAAAGATATTGATATCTATGGCTTCTTAATCCCTACTCCAGAAACTTTTTTTTTCTTTAATTTTAAACCCCCCAAATTTAAAATTGAACAGGCTGGAAGGTTTATAGAGGAATAATGTTCAGGCCTAGATGTCTTTCCTGTATTCCAACCCTGTGCTTTCAGTTCAGTCATAAAATCTATGTATTGGAGGCTTCTTTTCATTCGTAGAATCACAGAATGGTTTAGGTTGGAATGGGCCTTAAAGATCATCTAGTTCCAACTCTCCTGCTATGGGCAGGAACACCTTCCACTAGACCAGGTTGCTCAAAGCCCCATCCAACCTGGCCTTGACTCAGTTTGGTCTTAAGCAGCCACTCTTCTCTTCTGCTTAGAATTGTGCTCCCTTACTCTAAATTGCAGTTTTCAATTTTGCTTCCACTTCTGTGGGACCAAAATAATTTTGTGGGTAAAGAAACTCATACCTTGCGCAGTATCAGTGCAGAAATAGTAAATAACAACTCTAGATAATTTCCTTGTCTTTATTGTGTGTGCAGTTGGGTTTGTATGCAAAACTACTTTTTCTGAAGCAAAATAACTTTATTCTGGAAATAAAATAATCAAGACTTCCAGCCTAGTAAGTAATTCTGACCTCATAAATGAAACGATGCATTTCATATATGAAGTTAAATAGATCTTTGAAGAGAAGATTAGATGGTTCTTTGATAAAGCGCAGAAATGCTTAGTATGGAGTGTGTTGGAGATATAGAGGTTCTCCTTAATACTACTTACGCTAGTTTATTTTGAATGCTGGGATAATAGCATTATCCAGATGTACGCATGTAGTGTGTCTGTTTACCTGTGCCCGCACTAGGAGCGCTTTTAACACAGGCAGAGCGTAATGTCAGCTACTAGTAAAGTACAAGTAAATCCTGTATTAAGATAGCATAAATTTGTATGCTGCTGACCAGAATCTGATTCACTGTAGATATAGGTAGTTAGCCACTTATACTAAGCCAGTGTGTAGCTGTGATAAGAGAAAAATCCATGAGGACTGCAAACAGGGTGGAGGGAAGGACATGCTAGCTTTGTAAATAGCTGTACTTACGTGATATATTGGTTGCTATTAAAAAAAAGGGCAATGTGTGTGCTGTAAATGAAGTAACTTACCCCTATTTCATTGAGAAGTCAAGTTCCTCAAATTTTACTGTGGTTGAAAAGAGCAGGTGGAACAGCCGGCAGAAAGTATATTGTGATTTGAGTGTGAGCAGCAGAAGCAGTACCAGTGTTGAAATAGTTCCTTGTGAGAGTTGCCTTGCTTCCAAGCCCTAAACTATCTAGTTAAAGCTATTTTATAGCTTTATATCTTGTATTTCTATGTGGCACTATATATAGGGTAGCACAGATGCATTGCCTTAAATCTTCTGATTTTTTTCACTTGTATTTATGTATCTTCCACTGCTTACTCTCAGTGTTACTTTTTATTTTCCATGAGTATGTGAGTCTTGTTTGAAGCCACTGTAACTGATAATTTCCACTTCTTGAAAGGACCTGAAAATCTGGGAACAGGTTGGAAAGTAATTATGTTATCATGTTATACCTGTTTTTTCTTTATTTCATTCAGTTTGTGTGTATTTGTAGTTCTTTTGGTAACCTACTGACATTTTCTAATAAAAGTAATCATTTCATACAGAATGTTTCCAGACTTCCAGTTTGGTGGCAAGGTCATTCTGAGACCATGACCAGCAAATGCTTATGGGAACACTGATGTTTAAATTCTTGGGGTTTTCTTGTCTTTGAGTTTTTCTGTAGTATTGCCTTCTGTATTGATCATTTCAAACATATCCATTGTATTGAAAGCACAGAAAGAAGAGCTGAAAATCAGACAGCACTGACACTTGGAAGTTTTGCTTGATTTTATATTGTTATTACTTGTTCATGTGACAGCATTAATGAATGATAGTTTGTAAAGAGGTATGGGGTGACCACCACCACCCCACTCCCCCACCCCCGAGTCCCCATACTTTTAAGTTATTTAATCTTTATTTTTACAACAGCCAATTCCAAGTTCTACAAAAAAGTGATGAAGCTCTTCTTCAGAGACAATGATATAATGCAGAGATGATACTGGAAGCCTGTGATAATGTTATGCTATGAAGAGACAATTACCATAAGCCCCTACTTTTTTCCCCGTAAGCTGGGAAAATCATATTCCCAGATAAATTGCATATGGACACTCAAATTCCTGCAGAGTTTAGACTAACTGGCTAGTGTATCTGTTAGTTAATTCAGAAGAAGGAACAAAATTGTGGAATTTCTTCAAAGCTGAGGGGTTTTTTAACAAATTTTAATGTAATTTGAGGGAACTACACTGTGTCTTAGGATGTATCAGTAGATTCAGAAGAATATTCAATACTGCTTCTGCTCCTTAAGAAGGATTAAGTGTTTAATTTTCTGGAGGAATAATTGTACCCAACAGTATTGCATAGAAAGCACAATTCAATATAATTAGTTTGTCAGTG